CATACAATATATTGTTGGTGCGGCACTATTTCTCACACATTGCTATAAAAAATAAAATTTACAAGTTTAACCCACCCGCTACAAAATCTGCGCCTGTGAAAAGCGATAAACTTCATCCGTATTATTCTAAATCTAAATGAACCCGTGCGATGTTTAGACTCGCTAATATGCGAGCGATACGACCTAACAAGAGAATTTTTCACGCTCCCATCCTGATATAATTTCCTCGACGAACAATAAAAAATACGTGCACGCATTGGAAATGCTCGGAATACACGTAAGTGCGGCTAGCAGGCAATTAAGAAAAAAAGCAATTATCAAACATCTCGTTATGTGCCGGCGGTTAATTATTATCTAACGAAAGAACAGTTAGGGTAATAATAATACAAAAATTAACCAAGCAAAAAGGGCACTGGCGGCCATACAGCACAGATTATACGACGTCCACGCTGAGTGAATGCACCTCACTGAAAAAGAAGGAATTGTTCGATGCTAGTATTTATTGCGGTAAATTCACTTTCTAGTGGGAGTTTTTACTCTCATACAGGTACTTAGAGAATTGAAAAAGTCGCCGCATATCAATTAACACTTCAGTGATTCAAACATGCTTAATGTGGAAAATTAAATAACAAAATGTTATTTATTCAGCACTCACAATGAAAATCTGGATCCATTAGTTTGATGACAATCCGTTTTTACTTCACAACTCACTGTCGAAGTATTATAAACGCGAAAAATTTCGGTAAAATAAAATACCTATGCTTTTTTTAATGTTATATGACATCATCAACAAAAAAATAGAATTATATTAGGAAACCAAAAAATATCCTTATGATGTTAAACTTTTGAATGAATTTAAATCATATCGAAACAGACTGACAAAAATGATTAAATAGGCTAAAATTAAATATCTCCAAGAAGAGTTTGATAATCCACAAAATTGTTCGTCCAAAATGTGACAATTTATCAATAAAATACAAGACAAAAAACAAAACAACAAAATTAGTACAATTAAAAAAGAAAATGGTGAACTAGTGAGTAATGATGTAGATATAGCAAATGAATTTTGTGAATATTTTTCAAAAATCGGGAAAAGGTTGTCAGAAAACATAAAAAACGCGGAGAAATTAAATTATAGTAAGACCAGATTATATAACTCATTATATCTGGAACCGACCGATACGCATGAAATAAAGATAATAATCAATGAATTGAAATTAAGAAACTCTCCAGGTCTAGATAATATAACAGCGTATACTCTCAAGAGAATAAGTTGCAACATCTGCGGCATACTGTCATATTTGATAAATTCTTGTATGAATAAAGGAATATTCAATTCACGTTTAAAACACGCTATGGTAAAACCATTATTTAAATCTGGAGAAAGAGAAAAACCCATCAACTATCGACCAATTTCCATCTTAACTAATTTTTCTAAAATATTTCAAAAAGTGTTAAAAAAACGATTCACCGAGTTTGCAAAAAAATATAACTTAATAGCGGAACAGCAATATGGTTTTCAAGAAGGCAAATCTGCTCAAGATGCTATTGTAAAATTAACAACTAAAATATACACGAATCTCAATATTGGCAAACCAACTGCTTGTGTTTTTATTGACTTGGCAAAGGCATTCGACTCTATTACTCATGAATCGCTTTTAACAACTTTAGAAAACTTAGGTTTCCGGGGAATAACATAGAAACTTATAGGAAATTATTTGTCAAATCGAACACAGTGCGTCAAGATTAATAACACATTCAGTGAACCCCATATTATATCATACGGTGCACCTCAAGGCTCAGTATTAGGACCCATTTTATTTAATCTATTTATCAACGATTTGTTTAAAATAAGTAGTACAGGTAAAGTTATCGGTTTTGCGGATGATACAGCTATTCTCTATGAAAGCAACCAGTGGCATACACTAAAAACCACAATCGAACATGATTTCAAAACATTTACAAATTTCTTTTCGGAAAGAACTTTGACAATTAATTACAACAAAACACACTATAGAGCATTTTCTTGTAACAACAGGCTCTCACCACAATTTAAAAAACTTGAAGTTCATACAAGCAGTGGTCTCAAAGAGATTCAGTCAGCCGATAAAATAAAATACTTACTTTACGGAATTTTGGCTTGGGGGGAGTTATGAATAATAATTACAAAAAGGTTGATGTAACCCAAAAATTAATTCTAAAATTGATCCTCCATAGGGAGATTACTTATTCAAGTAATTTTCTATATGTGGAGGCTCAGCTATTAGATTGCAGACAAATTTATTTTTATTGTGGTCTAATGCATTATTTCAAATATTCAAAATACTTTAATCGTACCATTCATACCCAACAAGATTCAATCAAAATTCAATGTGTATTCCACAAACATCAAAAACCATTACACAACGAGCTCTGTTTTCCTTGGGAGCAAAATTCTATAACTTCGTACCAGAGTCATTAAAAGTAATTAAATCAAACAAATCATTTAAAAAAGAACTAAAAAAATGGATTTTACAACAACCAAGGTACTCCTCCACGAAATTGTAGATCTGAACAATCATTATCAAAATCAATAATATTTTACTTACACTAACATCCATACTTTTACTTTAGTTCTAATTGTCTGGATATTTTTCCTGACATTACCATAATAATTTTTTTTTCATACACTGACTGTACTATTAGTTTTTATTTTATACAAACCCAAACACAAGTGCAAACTTTTTTTGGGTGCTTTATGTTTATTGTGCACAATATTTGATATTTACCTGTATTTTGTGACAACAAACATTATTATTATTATTATCATGAAAAATTAATGTCACTCATTTTCCACGTTCTGTCGGCCTGTCTGTCCGCTAATCTTTGGCCCGACTATAACTTGCAAAGCATGGATTTGATGGAATTTTCACACAAGCTTACTATTATGCCAAGGACGAATAAGCCTTGCAGTTTTTGAAAATCGGTCAATTGGGGGCGAAACTAAGGGCAAACACGACAACAATATAAATTGTTCAAACCTCGTTTTTTACATTTCAGAGACTCCTAATCATTTTGGGAGTTGCGGGTTGTGGAGGAGGGTATGTTTCAACCCCGGTAGTTAAACGCACCTGCAACACATAGTACCGTACATTTTCCCATAAATATTTTAGTCAAATTCAAATACCCATTCATAATTATATAATAATAATAATAAAATGTCTTTATTAGGCACAATTATATAAACTACAACATAATGTGGCCTCTACGTAGGCGAAGTCTAGCTCTTGGCTACTCTACTTAACCTACCCGAATAATAAATTGAAACACTTAATCAGAGGAAACTTTGACAAGCAGCAAAAGACGCTTCAAAACAACGAGCTTGATAGCTTCCTGACATACATATATACACACATATATTACGTAAAAATAAAATAAAATGTAAGAATTAAAAACTAACTTTTCCACAATTACTACAATGACAAATAAATCATCTGTTTCACATGCTTACGAAATCTGTTTACTGGCCAATCCTTTATATTGTCATCTAATTCGTTATAAGTCAGGATAGCATTGTAAGTGTATGAATTACGAAATAAAGTTGTTTTATACATAGGGATCCCTAGTCTTTTTTTGTGTCTGAAATCAATGTCTGAATTATTTCGTCTGAAAACAAATTTCTCATAAAGATACAAGGGGGATCGAGAAGATATGATCTTATGTGTAAACACTGCTACATGGTACTTGCAAGCATTTTCTATACACATCCAACCAAGCTGAAATCTCTTTAAGGAAACATGATCATACTTCTTGAGATTAAATACAAATCGACAACAAGTATTTTGGAGTTTTTGGAGTCTTGCTTTTGTGATAGAATCAAGACAATGATAGAACACAGTGTTACAGTAAAATAAGCTTGGAAAAATAATAGCCTCACAACTTTTTTCTAACTTTAAAATTCAAAATAGAACGATTGACATAAAAACACTTCAAAGTTGCATAACATTTTTTTAAGATAGACGAAACATGCTCCTTAAACCGTAAAGTATAATCAATAATCAACCCTAAATTTTTTGTAGTATTAACGACAGCTAGACGCTCCTTGTCGATTTTTACATCAAGAGAATACAATATAGTGTTACGTTTGACAGCAGGACAAAAATGCATCACTGAGCACTTATCCTTATTGAGCTTAAGATTGTTAGCATTTGAGTATCCTACTATTGCCTCCAAATCATCATTAAGCTCATTGATTGAAGTATGTAAAGTGTTACTATTAAAGCTCTTATATATCTGTGTATCATCGGCATAGCACATCACAGAAGAGTTTTTCACAGAGCTACCCAAGTGTATAGTATAAAGTAAGTACAACCAGGGCCCTAAAACTGAACCCTGAGGGACACCTGATGTTATATCAAACGGACTAGATATAGTGTTGTCTATCTCTACTACTTATTTACGATTTGAAAGATATGTTATAAAAAACAGAAAAACATCACACACTGTAAGAAAATATATATATATATATATATTTATAGGTATAACTAAATAAATAAGTAAGCCATAAAAGGCCAAGAGTTGAGCGTGGCATACAAATTAACTAACCTGGTGGCATACCCGATAGAGGTAACCGGAAGTAAATTAAAAATATAATTTTATACAAATTTCGAACGAGAATGATGAAAATTTCCAACACGCCACTCTGGGTACAATGGCGTCGCAGTCTCACCGATAAGTGTTGGGGTCGAAGTTAGCCATAGCAACGTTGCCAGATTTCTATGTATGGACCTGTTTGAGTGACACGATCTCTTTAATTTCTTTGTTATACATGTTTGCCGCTAACATAATCGTTTATGAACTGATGACAGCGTTTCGTAAGGCCTGCAGAGTAAACCTCCTTGACTCCCATTTTTAAGCGCATTTGCTACAGGTCTCAATCAGTTGTGATTTTTGAAAAAGTTTCCACCCAATGTTACATAGCTGGACTTTGGGTAATTGATGCTTTCGTTTTTTTTTTTCAGTGAATATTTTCGAGCAAGGACGGCTATCACTATGTAGAAAATGCCTCACGAAGACCACGGCGGTAGCCATCATCACAATGGCGGTATCAACTCCCACTATCATCTAAATGGACATGTGAAGACCAATGGTAAGTACAATAAAACATTTTTCTAAAAATCAAGTCCAACTTCCAGCACCTGTCGCTTACTTTAGAAGCTCCTACGTGTACTACTAGAAAAATGCTTCACTCCTCACGGCGCTCTGTCTGTCGGTTTGTCCGCTAATCGTATAACCGCCTACAATTTGAGAAGTACCGATCGGACTTCGATGAAATGTTTACACATTTTTTTACTACCATGCTAAGAACGCAAAGCTTTGTAGATTTTGAAAACCGGACCAGTGTTGACGGAGAAAAACAAGGAAAACAGAAAAAAATAAAAAATGCTCAAACTTTGTTTTTTGGCATTTCAGACGACCCTTGATCGTTTTCGGAAAAATTTTGGTAGTGCTTAAAAATTGGGTTTTAAGGGTTATATATTAGGCATATTTCATTCATCATACATTGACCCTTGAAACTTGGAAATATCTCTAACAGTCCGGTGGCGACACGTGCGACGTGGTTTCCCGATGGACAGACGTCGTCATCGATGGTTGTACCTGACAGTCGACAATGGCTTCCGTACTGCTGTGTGCTGTGCATGGTGAAGGTCAATATCGTTATTCACATGAGCTTGGTCATCGCAACGGTCGTGTGGTCCTGCAGGAATTGCTGACAGGGGGAGGAGGAAGTTTAATTTTTTATTATACATGTTCCTAGCTAACTTTCTTCTCAGAAGGGCTAACTGATGACACAGTGACGTGGGAAAAACAGAGTCAACTTACTTGACGCCATTTTTTCTCTCATCAGTAGATGCAAGAAAAATAGTGTCTGCTATATTTTCAATCCTATTCTAGGAAATTTGAAAATTCAAGAGTGTAATGTGTTGCGCCCCATCGTGCAACATGCACACTTTCCGGCCCCGCCTACGACATCCGCCGGGTGGTACCTCTGCGTTCGACAGTCAGAGAGCGTCTACCACCTACGGACAATCACAACATAGCAAAGAGAAAAATTTTTCTTGGGACGAGATTCGAACCCGCACAGCGCACCGCGACTGATCAGAAGACCGAAGAGTCTACTACTGCGGCCACCGCTGCTGCCTGTTCTTATAAGGCATTAAAAAAGGGCAGTACTACATGGAATTTCATGTGGAATATCAATTACGAGTTCAGTGTGAGTTGACAGTCTACATAGTGTAAAGATGTTTCAAGAAGACTAAAAATCTTGATCCATCCCTCATTGTTTTTATATGATCTGTTTGCGTATGTTTTTGTAACAAAGATAAGTTTTTAAGGCGGCTCCGACGCAGTGAGTTTCAGGCCATTTACAAGGGTTTAGCTGCTTCGGAATTGACGCTCCATTTTTCTATATATTTGAATAAAATTTATACAGTATGTTCAGAAGACAATTGTCCAGGGTGCTATAGAGCCACTTTTCTAAAAAAAAATTTTTTTCAGGAGTTATGGTGGGTGGAAGTGCAGATAATTGTTGTTCGACTTCTCGATTTTTTTAAAAATAACCCAGAGGAAAAAACGAAAAAGTGGCTCTATAGCACCCTGTGGAGTCTTGTTTTTAGTGCACTGTGAAAATTTCATTGAAAAATATTCAAAAATGAAGCGTCAATTTTGAAGCGCGAAAACCTCTGCAAATAGGCTTTTACACGAATTTTATACACTATCTCGTGCTGCCAGTCGAAGCAACGCGGCGGTGTGTAAGGACTAAGAAAGGACGTATTCAGATAATTTGTTGTCCCAAGTTAAACAGCAGCAGTTTTAACGTCGGTCGTTCGAGATAAACATCGGACCATTAAGTGATATTTTTAATAGACTTCAATGAAAGAGGGGAAATTTTTAATCGATTTTGATCATTTCTTTTTATACAATAGGCCATGCTTCAGAGGTGATACCACAAAAAATCATTTTTGTTCAATCACTCCAATATGGATATCAAATGGAAGCACTTGTACAAAACAGTAATACGAAAACAGTTTCAAATCAAGATGGCGGCCGTTACAAAATGGCGGATAACATACTTGCTAATATCTCAAATAAGAGTCGTCGCCTTGTAGAATACAGTACTTCACTAAAAATTTGATTCCAAGATTGCCGCCGTTTCGAAATTGCGAGTTACATACTTTTGTACAAAACTCCCAATTTACATATCAAATACAGAACTTTGTGACCAAAAGTTTCCAGGTGGTTCCAGGGTCATTGGAGGCGGTAATCTTTTTAGTTAAAAATAATATAGTGAACGCATTTACCACAAATAAAATGTCACTTGCTGTTTAGCTTTAACCTTATGGAGTATCGTAGAATAAACTTAACACGATAAGCGTCATGAGATATAATGCGTGTGTCGCACCTCATTTGGCGCTTTGGGCCTCGTGACACACATGATATGTCTCACTGCTGGCAGTTATATTTGGCCGCGTAACGTAAGACGTGTGCCATGCTGATGTGATTTTCTTACGGGAACCAAGAGTCCGTGGCCTGAGGGACCAAATTATACTGAATTGGAAATGAAAACATTAAAAAACACGTTGTTTATAGAGTTTTACAAAAAGAGGATATTCTACAAATCTAAAACAAAAAGCAAATCTTATAAAATAATCAGACATTCTCATTCAAAAATGAACAAAGTAATTTCACAGCAAATCAGTAAGTTATGGTAAATGTCGATATTCTAACGAACACAAATATGGAGGAACTCTTATAAACTAAACAGATTGACAAAGTCTTATGCAGGGATAAACAAAATACTGGTATAAATAAACAGTAATACAGATAATAATGGAATTACTACAACTACTATCTGATTCACTACCACTTGGAGAATACGCATCAGATAAGTATACATCCCCACATAACTCAGTACTGCCACTCTCTTCATCCGATAGTATTTCATTACACAATTGTTCAAGCCTTTTTTGCTCCGCTTCGTAATGCGACATCACAAATTTGGTATTCAATAATTTATAAACAGTAAAGCAATTTGGACAAGATGACGTACAATACCAACAACGCTTCAATAATAAATGACACGAAACAGTGCTCAACGCGCGACATGATGCAAGTCTTGACTTGCAAAAAACGCGACGCGACTTATGTGCCACGCGACCCGACTGGTCTGTGGGCCACGCGACATACAATTAGTACCTCAGAAAAAAAAATCAAAAAAGGGGAAAAATCATAGGATTTGAGAAAAAAGTCAAGTCAAAATATTAAACCGAAACTTAAAACAAGCTAATTTGACAATAATAACAGTTTGGCCCAGTGGACTGGATTTTCAGATTCTACTGTGGCGCTTAACGTGTCAATGTGACATTTCAATATTCGCCATCTAACAGACTAGATAAAGCTAGCCGATGCTACGTGCTATTGAGCCTGACGATTGACTTTTATTTAAATAAACAATATATACATAATATACAATAAATAGTGAACATCTGGTACTAGTACCAAAATGGAAAAGATTAGCATAACATCTCGCACATCGCTGCTAAAGCGAGATCTGCACACCGCATTTGCCGACACGAAGGGGTTAGTAACGGCGTACAATGTAATATGCTAATCTCTTCCATTTTGGTACCCGAGTACAGCAAAAATAGCCAATTCTCAAGAACTCTTTAATCAAATTCAAGCGGATAACCAAATGGAAATGGTATTTACCATTTTGGATTGGTATTTACCGATCCGTTCAAGCGAGTGTAGTTATCAGTTTGGTTATAAGATCCGTGACGTCACGAATCAGCTGTTATATGTCATAGTTATCACCGCAAAATTGTGGTATTTACCCAACTCAAGAGTAGCTTTATATTTCTGGTTATTATTTGAAATGTGACAAGTTAGAATTCTGCCGGGTATTGGATATTGTTATTGTACTTCAGCTTCATTTTTGAGAAAATTGATACAGGCTGACTTCAGTTTTACCATAAAGTGGAGCACCTTATTAGTTATACTCATTTCGGTTGTTGGGGACACTTTAAATGTAGTTCCTATGCTTAACAAAGTATCCTGTGTAGCCATATACCACAAGAATATTAAAATATGGCCATATAAACTCACTAGATGATATCCACCTGTATACGGTTTTGCTAATTTCTTTTTTCATCATTTCTGCTGAATCAATAAATGTTTTCTTTGACATGCGGAAAAATTTAGAGAATTGAAAGTTATCATAGCTACAAAGCCATGGTTCCATCATTAAAAAAAAAATCTGCAAAAAACATTTCTCTCATGAATATTATGAAAGGTTTCTTATTTAAACTTTCCATATACAGTTGTAGACGAAAAAGCACCGATTATTAAGTGATAATAAAAACAATCAGAGATTATATACGCGCTTTTCTAAAATAAACAATTTGCAACAAAACCGCGGTTAAAACCAACACGTTCAAGCGATTCGTGTAACTGACGTCATCAACCCGTGTGTCATCTTGAACCATATTATAACCGCAGCACATAACACAGAACTTCAAGATGGGATCGCGGATTGGCATATTTCTGCTTTTTCTGGGATCGACCAGTTCTGGGAGCAAGCAGTTCATGTAGAAGAATTTCAATTTCTCTTCCATTTCATTTTTCCAGAAAACGTCATCCTTTCGAATGACGTCTATTTTCAAACCATACGGGGTCCAAACACCAAGCACACAGTACTCTCTTTGTGCAACGTGTAGCTGCCCTTGAATTTGGTAATACCACTTATGCTTTTTATTTATTTCATCGTTTATCCAAAACGTAATTTTTTTGTTCAGAATGCCCTCTTCAGGGGCTATTTCTCTAGCAGACCATGGACATTTAATTTCTAGCAGACCTTTTTCGCCTATCAAACCATCTGGCGATGCTGCCAGAAATGGATGGGTCCTATCAATAAACAACCCGCAAGATTGTACTTCTGATTGCGAATATGATTTCTCTATTTCTGATTTTGCCACGCTTTCATGCTTTTTTCCATAGTCACATGCATTGCTAAAGAATTCG